ATTAAAATATAACATTCTATGTCTATTAATGAAACATGTATTCAAAAGACTCCATGGATAGTTAGATATATAGAATATTTTAGACAACATTGTCTGTAATAAGATATGTGAAAGAATTGTCATATATATGCATAACATGACGAATGTTTTTAGTAAAGAAATAATCTTTCATAGATCTTCGGGTGGGTGTCTATTTAATTAATTGAAGGTCAAATGTTTTTTTTTTGTTTTGTTTGTTTTTGAGATTATTGAAATGTCTAAAACTGGATATAGTTTAGTTAGTTAATATGACCTTGACAAAAACAAATAACAATCTAAAAATAGACAACAATAAACAACAGTTAAAACAAGTTTTATTATTATTTTTTGTAGAATATTTGGATGATTGATAAGACCATATTAAGAATGTAGCAACATTGGGAATAATTAGTTAGATATTGTCTATTATTATCATACAATAAAATGAATAGTATTTCATCTCTTATTTGACTTTAATAAATTGTACTCAAGAGTTTTCAATAACAAAACACAAAAGAATATATATATATATATATAAATGATTTTATTCCATGAAAAAACACTAAATTTGGTTTAGATATTATCCTGTCGTAGTCGATCAGTATTCGACATTTTTTCGACTAGTTGGCATGAACTATTTCGAAAGACTCAGGTAGATTACATAACTAATATTAAACTAAATAAACATCGATTAGTCACACTTATATCATATTTATCAATACATGTTGTTTCATATGCTTATCACTATTTTTAAATGCTATATATACATATGCTGCTTTTAATTATATGTCGACGAGATTTAAAATCATAATAATCATGATTTCAATTCTTTTTGGTATTTTACTTTTAGTATCTTACAACGGTGATTCCATATGATCGTGATCATCCAACATATTTATCGGTTGAACATTTACAAAGTTTAAATAAAAGTTAGTTAGAATATTTGATTATTGATTTCAATTAAAATAATTTTGTCTTTTATTCTTTGTAGTACTTCACGCAATTAATGAAGATAGTCCTCAAGTGCCAGAACTTTTAACAAAATACATTCTCAATGTTCTATGTCCATGTTGACGAGAATATCATAATTTAATATAGTCATGTTTAATAATCTTTCGCTGTATGTTAGTGCGCTTTTGTACTGTGGTGATTTTTTTTTATTGTGCATGTTTTAGACTTTTGTCTATATTTTATCTTCTTAGAGCTAGTTTCTTTTTTTTTTTTTCTTTTTTTTTGTTCTTGATTAATTGACATCATGATATTCAGATATTTTACATTAGCTTGTATTTAAATCAAAGAATTTTACGCAAAATATGTTATCTTGATATTTAATCTAGTCTTTTCTTTTGTCTTCTTTGTCGGTTAGACTGATAAATAAGTTTTTAATGTATATGTGCGCGCCTTCACCTTGGTATTTTATCGAAACATTATTATTAATATACATATATATTATATTTGTATTGTGTGTATTATTGTCAATATAAAATAATAAATATTCGGGGTTTTTTTTTTCGGGAGAAGAAAAATAAATAGATAAAAATTCATATAGTTTGTAATATCCTGTTCGATGTGACAATATAAATGATTATGCAAACAAATCTGTTCGATTTTATGCTCGAAACAAAACAGAAATATAAATATGTTTCTGATTCGATGACCTACTCAACTGGATATGTTAAGAATGTAATTGCCATTAGCAAAGTTATTGATCGACAAGAGATATTACTTGATGGAGTAAATAATAGAAAATAAAGAGAAAACATTTAGGAAACAAATAAATATATATTGAATTGAATTATATAACTAAGATTGTATTGTGGATATCGAAAATTTGTTTATAAAATAGTTCAATTGATGTTAACATTTGTACTTTATAGTTTAAATGATTAATAAATTAAAACAAATGTTTGTATTGTAAATATTTTCTGATCGCTTTTTCTTTCTCTGTTGACAGGATATTTTCGCGGGTTTTCTTTCATTTTTAAATCAAATGAACAATCTAATGTATTACTCATTTGTAATTATTGGACTACTATTTACTATCTATAGATACGTGTATAGTAATGAAGATCGATATTATTTTGATTTAATTTTAAAAGCATTATGGCGATATCCAATTATAAAACAAATACTTATCCATTTGTGTAGTAAAGAACTTGATAAATGTAAAAATGATCAAATATTACGAGCTTATACAAATATGATTAATGATAATAATTTACAACAAATCTTAGATAATCTTATTGAATGTTTTATTAATTCAGAAACATGTATTCAAATCAATGATTGGCAACAATGGTCAGAATGGAGTTCATGTTCAGTTACTTGTGGCATTGGTAAGAATAATTTATTATTATTATGAAATTAAAATTTTAAAACAAAAAATCGAAAAATAAAATGAAACAAAAGATTTTTCTATCAAGATTATATCCAGTCAAATTTCATTTTATGTCAATATACCATTAATCAAAAGAAAAATTATCTTAACTGTCAGATTATATAAAGATTAAGATTATCGAAGATACTGTCACATTATTTCCAGTTTTGCTATCTATAATTTTTTTATTTTATAGGTCATATTGTACGTACTCGTTCTTGTAAATCTGATCGTCAATGTTTAATAAGTTCATTTTCAACTCAAACTGATTATTGTTTTATTAAATCTTGTAGAAATAATATTCGAAAACATTTAAATACAATAGAAGATAATATGATGTCACATTCTATTGATCATAAATTAATACGTAATAATTTAAATATTATTTTTATTTTTATTTTTCCATTTTTCATTACACTTATATGTATACCATTATGTGTATATTATTATATTTATGAATGTGATTTTAAAATTCATGCATTAACTATTTATATTTTATCTCTATGTAATAGACATAGTGAAATGAAGAAAAGAAGAATAAACATAAGATGATGATAATCATGATTGTTGTTGTTGTTGTTGTTGTTGTTGTTTTTGCACGACATTCTTAAGTATGGGTGATCGATAACTTAATATGCACAACTATTATTCGTTTATACAACTGATGTAGTCTGTCACTAGTCTATAAGAAAAACTTGAAAATTAATTCCAGAAGGTCATTGTTTGATGGTATCAATATGTGTGTAAGTGCAGAATAAAAAAGAAACGCAGTATAAGTTCTAGAGTGATATAAAATGTAGGTATAGAAGCATTCAAAGTATAACAAAAACTAAAAACTGTTAATCATATTTATAAAAAGAAAAAAAAAAAGAAGAAAAAGTCTTGATATTATATTATTGTTTTTTGATTTTTGGATCAATATTATAAGAATGTATCTGTTTTGAATACTCTGAACTTTAATCTTTTCATTTGTTTATACAAAAAAATTGACAGGTACACTGGTCTTTTTCTTGTTAATAATCAAGGGCTTTTGTTTTCTATCATCATTGTCTATTTTGTCTTAGTTATACGATAGATTGTATCAATAGAATACTTCATGTGAAATTGTTTTTTGCTATTATTTTCTACTGGTATCTTGTGTTATAGATTTTTTCGATAAGGATATCTCCTATCTATTGCTAAATATTATCATGTCGTCATCATCATGCATACGACAGTATTCTATTGATGAAGACAACGTTAATGTGCAACCTTCTTATGCTTGCACTAGTATGATTATCCACATCAGTTGCAGACACCCACTTTCATAGTATATATATATATATATATATATATATATATGTGGGCCGAGGAAACATCTAGCGTATGGTGGCGTATGCGTTTGTATATATATTTCATCTATTAATAGACATGCATCTCGTTTTTTTCTATGTAGAAGAAAACGAAGGAAACAAATGCAACTTTCATTGTTTTTCGCGAGTTTTTTTTTTCTTTTTTACATCAGTCTAATCAACTTCGTTTTCTTTAAGGTTTGTTAATATCTAGACAGCAATGTGTATATATATCAATATAAGAGTAAGATGCATTGATATAAATCTTAAAATGAAAAAAAAAAAAAAAACTCATTTGCATGTTGGAAATATTTTTTTGTATGATAAAATATTTGCTTATTCAATCGAATAGAGAACGATGGTTTTTCAATCGTGGAAAAGAGCATAATTGATGGATATCGATGTCTATAGCGGTCATTATCATGACGATTAAGCTTTGCATTATTTATGCTTGTATGCATCCAGGGACGATTAACATTCTTTTTGCTTTATTGTCATCTTAATGTCGATCACATTGCTCGACTTTATCATAAAACATTTGCTCGTTTTTTGGTCATATCATCTAACTACAATACGCTTTTGTGTATTCTAGTTCTAATTATATTATCATTAAAGATGGATGGGTGTGTTGCTATCTTATCAATAGTCTTCTTTTTTTTTATAATTATTCTCTAGTTTTCAGAGAGAAACTTTCGTTTGGCGACTCTATACATATTTATATACAAATTCTTCATGGTCCATTATAAGTTGTTGAGAAATATTCTTTCTGTTCTTTGTAGAAAACGAATGTGGAAAAAAAAACCACATCAGAATGCAACTGATATCATATACAAGAAAAAAGAGAAAAGAACTTTTGTCATCATCTTCCGCTCTTTCAGTTAGCACCAGAGTGTACCACCCTTCTTTTTCCCTCTTCTTCAAGCGTGTGTATATGGAGATACTTCGATGATCAGCACCGGCTAACGCGTTTATATAGGAATAAGGGGATATTTTTTACCGTATACAATAGTACATAGTTTTCTTCGTCTTGTTTCTTCTCTCTCTCCCTTTCTCTCATTTAGGCTTAGGTTGTCGTCAACTATCTCTATAATATTTTTTTTATGATTATTTCTTTGATACTTTTCTTCCATATGTATACACATATATACATATATAACTAAAATGGAGGGCTAATATATTCTTTTTATTGATATTTTTATTATTTACTTTTATTTTTATTTTTGATAGATAATTAGTTAGTAAATTGTTGGATTAATAGCAAGAGAAAGAGAAGAATGGCGGCTAGTGCACCACGGTTTTCTAAACCGCCAGATATTCGACAAAAACCAGATGATCCTACACGTCTTTTTCTCGAATGTCAAGTGCAAGGTACACCCAAGCCTGATATAACCTGGTTTCAAAATAATAATAAAATTTCAAATTCAACTAAACATAAACAAACAATTCAAGTTGCAACAGGAAATAATTACAATGTTGCACTTGAAATTTCTGATCTTAGTGCTAATGATGCTGGTACATATAAAATTGTCGCTAAAAATAAAGCCGGTGAAATAACAGCTAATGTTAATTTAAATCTTTCAAGTGATGATGATACTGAAACAACAAATAGTGCTGCTAAGTAAATCTAGTCTTATTTGATTTATTTAAATTGAATAAAAAACAAAAAACGTCTTTTGTTTTTTTGAACTTTGTTTAGTTCGGCTGAAGGTACTACACCAGTATTTATTCAAAAACCAAGTATAAGACAAGAAAATGATGGAAAACGTTTAATATTTGAATGTAAAATATCTGCTGAACCTAAACCAGATATATTTTGGACACATGATGATATACCATTACAAGATTCTGGTCGTTATTTAATTTATTGTGATGCTTTACCAAATAATACATATGTTGCATGTCTTGAAATTGATGATGTTAATGCATCAGATGCTGGCAAATATAAAGTTTTAGCAAAAAACAAATTAGGAGAAAGCAATGCACATATTGCCTTAAATCTTGAGAGTAAGTATTCTATATAAAACTTTCATTCATACATACAGATTCACCATATGTAAATATTTACTATTGATATAATAGTATAAATGATACATAACATTGTAAGGTTTTGTATTGTGTAATTAATTGAAATAACAATACACTAAGTTATTGATTATTAAAAAATTGAAAATATATTTATTTAGGTCCAGATCAAAGTGCTGGTGGTCGACCTTCATTTATTAAAACACCTGAAGTTCGTATGTTTGAAGAATCAGCACTTTTAGAATGTCAATGTACAGCTGATCCAGTTCCAAGTTTTACATGGACACTTGATGGAAAAGCTCTTGCTCTCGGAACAAAATATAAACAAGGAATCGTAACAGATGGAAACATACATAAAATATTTCTTGAAGTTTTTCAAATAGGAACAAAAGATTCAGGATTATATAAAGCTACAGCAAAAAATGCTAAAGGTGATGGAACAGCAAGTATTCAATTGAATATTGAAGGAATTGATTTCAAGTTTGTATTAAAATACAAAAAAGAAAACAACAAATTTTCATATAAATTTTATCATCTTATTATTAAGATTACCGGATGGCCTTGCACCAACATTTCTTGGTAAACCAACAATTAAGCAAGATGCTAAAACTGCTGTTATTCAAATCGATATTGCTGCTGATCCAAGTCCATCAATATATTGGACTAAAGATGGAAAAGAGTTACTTAATGTTGATAAATATATACCACGCATGTATCGAAGTGGAGGAAATCAATATAGTATTTTTCTCGATATCAAGGTTAATCAATCGTTATTTTATTTATTGATTACAAAATTTTCTTATTTATATTTATATATATATATATATAGAATTTAGTATCATCGGATGGTGGTCTCTACAAATGTACAATATCAAATGAAGTTGGTACATCAGTCGCTAATATTGTTATTAAAATTGCTGGTATTTTATTTGATAATTACAATAGATTATATATGATATTTTGCTTTGTTTGCTTTTTTTTGTAATAGGTGATAAAGCTAATTTAGAACAATTAGATAAATTAGCACCGGCATTTGAAAAACCCAAAATTACAAAAGATACAAAACAAAAAACAATTAAAATTGAATATCGTTGTAAAGGAAAACAAGAACCAAAAATAACATGGAAAAAAGCTAAAACTGAAATAAAAGATACACCAAATAAATATAAGATTAGTAAAAAAAAGGAAACTGATGATACATATTTATGTATACTTGAAATTCTTGTGAGTTTCTTATCTTTTTACTATAAAAAGAAAAAAAGAAAATCCAATAATGATTTATTGTTCTTTATTCAGAATGCTACTTCATCTGATACTGGTGTTTATAAAATCTTAGCTAAGAATGATGCTGGAGATACACAAGCATTAGTTAATTTACATGTCGATGTTGAAGCAGAACCACCGTATAATGATTTATTACATTATATATTGCTTTTCTTTTTACAAATTATTTTTATAGGAAAGATGAAGAAGAACAAGAAAAACCTAAACCAAAAGTAACTCCTCCGGACGAATCAAAAAATGTTCCAGCAGCAGCAGCTGAACAAACGGTAGCACCTGTTTTTCGTGATAAGCCAAAAGAAGTGGTATGTTAATGTCTTTATATGAATATGGATGAATAGCAATGGCATTATACTGTTGCACGTCGAAGATAAAAATATGCATAACTCAATTTCTACTGAATGAGTTTTAGCAGTTTTTTTAACTGACTCCTTAGTTTCTATTCTAACCATATAAATAAATCAGAGTTTCAGTTTCGATTGATTAATTTAAATCTTTCCAAAGCTAACTGTACACACACTTTGACTATTTTATGTCCTGAAAAATTAAATTCGATCTACTAGGATCGATCTAAAAATAAACACAAGTGTTCTGCTTTATGGTCGAATACACTAAAATATCAAAACTTATTTAATAAAAGAAAAAAGTTTTCTAGGAATTTTCTTGGTTAGATAAAAAGCCAAAAATAAGAAGAGTAGGAAGCTGTTTTTCTACAAAACTTCCAGAGATATTTTTGATTTTGTTTGTTTCATTTCTTAGTAATCATAAGGGATCAGCCTATAAGTGTTTTATCCTTTTCAACTTCGCCTTCATTGATTTCCATTGACTCTACTCAGATTGAGATGTTTTCAGAGTTATCGTGACAGTTCCTAATACTTTGGATGACGAGAAGTTGTTAAGAGTGAAATAACCGTTAGAGTATTAGAATGCTACCTTTACTCTTACACTCTTAAGATATATATAAATATTTTTTCAAAACCTTTCGATTGATATTCGATAACAGTGTATAAACTCTCATTTAGAAATTGTGTTTTTTGTTAAAAACATCTTGAAAAACATTCATTTAATTAGAAAATTCTATTTTTAACAAAAATTAAGAATTGACACTTGATACAAATATTTTATTGTAATTTTTTAGACAGCCAATGATGGTGATAAAGTACAAATTCAATGTAAAGTAACTGGTACTCCAAAACCTGACATAACATGGTTTCTCAATAAAAAAGAAGTTAAGCCGTCGGCTGTAAGTTAAAAAACTATTTAAATGAACATTCGATAATTTTTTTTGGAAAAAGGACTTTGTACAAGAATACGATGGTACAACAGCCAAATTAACAATTCCAGATGGATATGTTGAAGATAGTGGTGAATGGATGTGTGAAGCATGGAATGAAGCTGGTCAAGCAACACAACCTGTTCGTGTAACTATCAAAGGTAATGAATATTCTTGTTGTTTTTTTTTTTTTTGTTATTTATTACAATATTTTGATTAAAATTAGAAAAACGTGGTAAACCAAAACGTGTACGAAAACCAGCTGATAAAAAGGATAAAGAACCAGCTGAAAAACCTCAAGAGAAGCCAGCTGAAAAACCAGCTGAAAAACCTCAAGAGAAGCCAGCTGAAAAACCAGCTGAAAAACTTCAAGAGAAGCCAGCTGAAAAACCAGCTGAAAAACCTCAAGAGAAGCCAGCTGCAAAACCAGCTGAAAAACCTCAAGAGAAGCCAGCTGCAAAACCAACTGAAAAACCTCAAGAAAAACAAGTAGTTGAACCAATAAAGATTGTCGAACCTGGTAATTCTAAAATTCTTAATAAATCACTTGATCGATTAAAAAAAAAATCTTTTTCTTCAAAGAAATACCAACAATATCGACACCAACCGATGATTATTCAGAAGAACCCGATCGTCGTATACCAACAATTCAAAGTAAAAATAAATATATTTTTGTATTCAAAACTTTTTTTTTAATTCTAATATTCTAGCTGAAGAACCAGTATACGAAGAAGCAGGTCCACGTCGTGCTGCACCTACTAGTCAACCCAAACGTTCTTCAGCAACGAATCTTAATGTTATATCGGAAACACAAGCGCGTAAGTTAAATAAATAAGAATGTTATTTTGTCATAATCTATGATTAGTCAGATATATCCAAACTACATGAACATAAAAAACATGATGCACATAGATCATTCAAGAGTAGTGAATGAACGAAAAACTAGTTAAAACTAAACATCAATAAAAATTTATCGAAACGTTCGTTAATGAAAATTCATTTTCTCGAATTCTTGGATATGAATGAAAAACAAATAAGATAGTACCATAAATTAAATTATAAAAAATAAATGTTGTACGAACAACAGATATCAATAGTTTATTTATCACACTATATTCTGATACAATGGAAAATGATCTCACAAGGAAATATATCCAAGTGTGAAATTGGGTTTGAGTTATGAGTATGTGAACCATGTAAATCCTAATGAGTTATGATTATTTTGAGAAAATTTCGTGCTATTGATTTATCATTGCCAAGATGTTTTATTTTTACGGTATTTTTGTGATCTTTCTTCGGAACATCAAGAAAATTGACTTTTGAATTTCGACTTGAAACTTTGCAAAGAGACAAGTCTTAAAGAGAATAGTTTATTGCGAAAGTTAATATTTTCTTTTTTTGATTGCTTCTATTCTGAAGTATGAATATTGAGATCTACCCGTGTATCTGAGTGAAATCAAAAAAGCTGCTTTTACCATACTTATATCTTAGGATAAAATGATTAAGATAAAATACTTTGACAAGATTACTTTAATTTTAATTTTAATTTTTCTTATATTTTTTCAGCTCCTCAAATACGTACTGATCAACCTGAATCGGTAATGTATTGATTAATTCTAAGCTTTTTTTTTTACAGAAATAGTTAGAGGTTAGAGTTTGTAATGAAATGTAAAAAAACACAAAAAGAAATCATATTATTCAGAATTCAACGTAGTCTTTTATTATTGTGTCTATTTATTTCTATTTTATAGACTGATGCTGATGACTATGAACATGGTCATCGTCGTTCAAGTGCAATGGACGATCGACGACCATCACTTCGTCGTGTTGATCAAGAAAGTTTACTTAAAGTTAGACGAGATTCAAAATCACGTCGACCATCATTAGCTGAAGTTATACCTGATTGGCCGGCATTACAAAAAGTTAAAAGACCAGAAAAGGTGAATATTAACTTTTTAGAATTATGTCATCAATATTACTGTGCTTCTGATTGAACAAAAATCGATTGCAGACATATATTATTCTTTGCATGAACGTTTGTTACTGAATGTTTTTATTGTTGTTTTGTTTTGTAAATATTATTATGCATGAACATGTAAAACAAACTAATTGTATTTATATAATTAGGAAAAAGAATCATTTATTGAACCATTACAAGATATTAAATGTAAAGAAGAAGATAAAGAAATTACATTTGAATGTACTTTCTGTAAGCCAAGTACACGACTACGATGGTAGGCTTGATAAATCAAAATTCTTTTTCTTTTTTTTTTTGTATAAATTATTTTAAATAATTTCTATTTAAGGCTTAAAAATAAAGTTGAAATTTTTCATGGATTAAAATATCATTTTGATTCAATTGGTGCTAAGTATGAATTTATTTTAATTTTTTATATTTATATTAAAAGAATATTTTTCTTTTTAGACAAACATTAACTATTTATAAATTACATCCAGATGACTCAGGAAAATATTTTTGTCGTGTTAATGATATTGAAACATCTGCATGGCTTACAGTAACACGTATGTATTGTATATTTTAATATCTAAGAAATATTTAATTGTCATTGATTTTCTTTTCTAGCTGCTAAACCATTATATGATTTTTATAAAGAATTACCTACAAAAATGGAAGTATTTCGAACAAAACCAACTATACTTGAATGTCACGTTAATGATCCAAATGCACCTGTTATATGGTTTAAAAATGGAGTACCAATTGATGTAAGTATTGTTTTTCAAAAGATCTTTTCTTAACGCAGATTTTCTTCTTGTATATAAATGTCATACAAAGAATAGAAAATTATTCTTTTATCATGTTTAGAAGTAGGACAGTTTTATATTAATCCGTGTATTATCTAAAGTTTCTCTTTTAGAAGAGAGATTAAAAATTTCTAGAAGATGAACATCTTTTTTTTTGAAACCATAGCTACATGATTGTAGTACAACAACTAAAATCTTTGGAAGAACATTGCCCCGGCTGTTCTCATGGTGTAGAAAATACTGATATTAGTTTTCATCTTGAAAATTTTTGACAAATTCTAAGGATCCTATTGAATGAGATGACCATCCTTCATTTGAAAAACCAATTATATCGTTTTGAAGAACAACTCATAATGTATCGAATGACATATAGAAAATTGTATTTTCGTTAAGTTTGAACGTTTTCAGCAGTCATGTACCAGTTAAGCAATATATGAGTAATATGTCTCAATATGTCCTCAAACTAATCTATATCAAATTCTTGTCTAAAATTAATTTGATAGAATCTTTTCTGATCTTCAATCGTGTACATTTAATAATAGTCACAGTAGCTTTCTTGATATTGAAAATTGTAGTATTTTTTTTCGTAGTTTCGTTAAGTGTTGACTTTTATGATGTTTTAAATTATTCGATACTACTCCTGAGAACAAAGGCGATTAATTGTGCCATTCTCTCAAAAATGGTATGACAGTAAGTTCTCTAAGTGTACTGATTGATTTTCTTCTGAATTGAAGTGCATCATAATCAAATTAGCTCATCAACGGCTAAAAACGACCATTATTCGAGATCTCATTGCAGAAAAATATGTCAATTATGTTATAAATACTTTTCGAGTAAAAAAAATTCCATCTATTAATAATAAATTCATCATGCCATATCATTTGATATATCAAATCTTTCAAAAATGGCAAAAACACTTTCTACGTTTGGATCACTGGAGGGAAATGCAGAGATATATGTAAAATTTTTATTTTCATAAGAAACCAAAAAGATAAACAGAGCTGCATGCTTTAATTACACCCCGCTACTCAGAATCTACATTCTTAAAGAGTAAAATAAAATACAAAACTAATCTTTGTAATAATCCATTTGCGCACTCCTTCTAGGAGTCTAGTAACGAAAAATTTTGCCATTTTCGAAAATTTCACACATATATATATATATATATCTTTCAAGTGAAACTGTGTCATCTTATTCGACAGGATCCTTCCTATGCATTAATCTATTTTCAATGGTTCTTACGATTATTTCAAGAGAACTGTCAGAAGAAATTCTAAATACCTGATTTTATATCAGCATATTAAAATAATTCTAATTTCAGAAAGAAAAATGCTTTACTTGTTAGTTATATCTAATAAATTTAAATCATTAAAAAGCTAATTTTTTTTTTGTATACATGTAGTTTGAAAAAGATAAACGTTTCAAATTTCATCAAGATATGACACGATGTATTCTTCGAATACATAGAACAACAAAAGCCGATGAAGGTTTGATTTTTTTTATATTTATAATTTAATTCCTATTAATATTTGTTTCAATATTTAGGTCAATATATATGTCAAATTGATGATGATCGAGCTATTAAAACTTCTGGTTATCTCTATGTGGAAGGTATTTAATACAAAAAATACTAAATATATGTATATACATACATACTTTTCTTTAAATAGAACCACAATGGCGTTTTGAATCTAAATTACCTCCAAATATGGAAGGTGATGAAAATAATAAGATTGAACTTGAATGTAGTGTACAAGATGAAGATGCTGAATGTGAATGGTTTATTCATGGTGAAGTAAGTTAAGATTTGTTTACATTTTGATAATATCTTTTTGTTTTTTTTTTGTTTAATTGTTTTAATAGAGAATTTTTCCAGAATTAAATCCTGATAAATATGAAGAAATATCCTATGGAAAAGTTCGTAAATTAGTTGTTAAAAAATTAAATCCAAATAGTGATACAGGAAAATATGATTGTAAAACTGGTGTAATGACAACTTCATGTGATGTATTGGTTCGACGTAAGAAACTCTTTAAAAAAAAAAATTTTTTTTTGTTTTTGTTTATGTTTAATATAATATTTTTTTTCGTCTAGCTGCACTTCGTATTGAACAAAGATTAAAAGATACTGATGCAATCGAAGAACAAGAAGTTGCTTTTGAAGTTCATTTAAATAAACCTGATACAAAAGGAAAATGGTATAAAGATGGAAAAGTAATTTATCCAGATCAAAAGTAATTATTCAAATTTGTTTGTTTATTTTTTTTCGATTGAAATAATTTATTGATTTTTTTTTAGTACAATTTTAACTAATGACAAAAATAAATATCGATTAATATTAAAAAGTGTCGGTTTGAAAGATACTGGAGAAATTTCATTTCAATGTGGTGATGTTAAAGATAGTTGTAAATTAACTGTTAAAGAATGTATGTGTGTTTGTAATTCTTTTCTTTTTTTTTTTTTGGTTTTCGAACAATATAATTAATCTTGATTTAATTGTATTCAGGTGATAAGCCACCAAAAGTTGATCTAAGTCGAGTTCCAAAATCTCTCACAGTAAAAGCTGGTCGACCACTTGAACTTGAAGTTCCATATGACGCTTTTCCAATACCGATTATGCATTGGTCAAAAGATGGAAAAATTATTCAACCAGGAGGTGATACTCAATGTGAAACATCAATTGATGCAAAAAAATGCAAATTAAATATGTAATAAATATTTGAAAATAAAAATTCATTTTATTCTATATCGTGTTCCGTTTTTATTTTTCGTTATAGTGAAAAGGCAAAACGAGATGATACAGGCAAATATGAATTAACATTAAGAAATGTTAAAGGCGATGTCAAAATTCCAATTGATGTTATTGTTATTGGTAAGAAATATATAACATGATTTTTATTTTAATTAATGCCTGAGACGACTTTAAAAATAGATCAATCGATTTTTTTTGCATATTTTGAGAAGAAAATAATTGGAAAATTCAAGGATTTTGTTATTATATAGAGCCAGTCAAAAGATATGATTAATATTTGATGAAATCAGAACTAATTGAGTTTGTTAACTTTTGAGAAATTATAATCTCTCTAATAAAGATTTATTGAGTTGCGTAAACTTTACAGTTGAAAATAATATTGTTGTTGAACTTTTTTCACCAATTTACATGTTAGCCGAAAAACATTTTCGAATTTAAGAAATTTAACTTCGCAGAACTCTAAATTCATATGGTTAGTTTCAATCATAAACATGAAACGAAACGAGATCTTTTGCGTTTGTATAGATCTAATCTTTATTTTCTAACTTTTGCATAGGCTTACTCTATTTAAATAAATGTTTTTCATTAAATCTACGATAATCGATGGTTGCAAAGGTCATAGATTACCAGCTATTATTATTATTATCGAAATATTCACCGATGTATCAAGTATTTCTGTCTCCTGTCGTGATTAATTCTATTCTCTATCTAACGAAAAAAAAAAATTTTTTTTATTATCTATTGAAACGAGAGACATAAATTTTGCAGTACTGAGTTTCAGCAATAGTCGAAAGTTTAATCTTCTGTAGGATGACATTTTAATAAAATTCATTGTGTTTTCTTTTTCTAAGATCGTCCTGGTAAACCTGAAGGTCCAATGAAAGTCACTGATATAACAAAAGAAACTTGTACTGTTTCATGGAAACCTCCATTAGATAATGGTGGATGTCCTATTGAAAGATATGTACTTGAAAAACAAGATGTTGGACGTGGTGGTTGGACACCTGCTGGTGAAGTTAGTGGTGATGCAACTTCAATAAATGTAACAAAATTAACACCAGGAAAAGAATATTTATTTCGTGTACGTGCTGTTAATAAAGAAGGTGAAAGTGATCCATTAGAAACAAGTGCAGCTATATTAGCAAAAAATCCATTTGATGAACCAAGTGCACCAAGTAAACCAGAAATACCGGATTGGGATAAAGATCATGTAGATCTTGAATGGCAAGCACCGGTAAATAAAGAAAGGAAAAAATTTAATAAGAAAAATCTTTTTTTTTTTTATGTATTAGATGTCAGATGGTGGTGCACCGATCGAAAAATATGTTATTGAACGAAGAGAAAAAGGACGTGATCAATGGCAAAGAGTAATTTTTTTGTTCTTTTTTCTTTTGACAAAATAATTTTATTGAAAACGAATAAAATGTTTGTTTTTTTTTTTCGTTTAGGGAGCTGAAGTTGACGGTCAACGATGTAAAGGTGCTTGTGGTGGTTTAACTGAAGGCAAAGAATATGAATTTCGTATTGTGGCTGTTAATAAAGCTGGTCCATCAGAACCTAGTGAAGCATCAAAAGCTGTGATTGCTAAACCACGTTTCTGTATAAAAAATTTTTCTTTTAATTTTCTTTCTCTAAACAAAAAACAAAATCTATTTCTTTAGTAAAACCACGTATCAATAGAGTTGGTCTTAAATCAGTTACTGTTAAACAAGGTCAAACAATAACATTAGAAGCACCATATGCAGCTGAACCATTACCAACAATGACTTGGCAACGTGGTTCAACTGTAATATATATTTTTTTTTCTTCTAATTTTTATTAAATTAATTTTTTATATTTAACAGGAACTTATACCCGATGATCGTACACAAATGACACAAACAGATAAATTAGCTAGACTTATTATAACAAAAGCACTTCGATCTGATACTGGTCAATATTTAATTCGTTTAGTTAATAGTTCAGGAACTGAAACAGCTGAATGTGAAGTTATTGTTCTTGGTCCACCATCAATGCCACGTGGACCAATAGTAACTAAAGAAGTTACAAAATCAAGTGTTACATTATCATGGATGCCACCATTAGATAATGGTGGAAAAGAAATTACGTAAGAGAAAAAAAAACAAAATAAAAAAAATAAACTAAATTTTACTACACTTTTTTTTTTCTTTTGAATTTTTATAGAAATTATGTTGTTGAAAAACGAGATAAAAAAACTGGTGATTGGGTACGTTGTAGTGATCCAGTTAATGGTACACAAGTAACACTATCGAAATTAAAAGAAGGACATGAATATGATTTTCGTGTTATGGCAGAAAATATAAATGGTCTTTCAGAACCATTAATGACAGAGAAAGCAATATTAGTCAAAAATCCATTTAGTAGGCTTTAGTATTGATTCATTAGTTTAAAATAAGATTTGTTTTTTTTATTTGTATAGCTGAACCTGGTCAACCGGGTACACCAGAATGTGTTACACGTGATCGTGAACATATTGAACTTAAATGGAATCCACCGAGAAGTGATGGTGGTAATCCAATAAAAGGTTATATTGTTGAACGACGTGAAAAAGCAGCAAAGAAAAAAGAATGGACTGATATTAATCGTGGTGATCTTCATAAGGTAAATTTTGTTTTTTTCTTTTCATATTTAAATTAAAAGCCCGTACAAAACGAGCAGTTAAAAAAATTAGTCGTTAAGACTCATTGTATTATTCCGAAACACAGAAATCTTTAGTAAAAGGCGAAAGATTTTCGTGTGATTGTTTCGGAATCAGAGTTAATTTAAACCAATGGAATGACTTATGTTTATAAATATCATATCGATGCATAAATTGCACAGTAGATGTTTTTTTTTCTTTCCTGTTAAATTTATATAGAGCGAAAACGAAAAAGAAATTGTTGTTTTTTCTTTGCTTCTTCTAGGGTACAAATTTTGTCGATAACAATGTTACGCCGAATAAAGAATATGAATATCGTGTTACGGCAGTTAATGAAGCTGGTCCAGGTGAACCAAGTGATTCATCGGGCGGTATTGTTGCTAAGCCGGAAAAAGGTATATGTTATTTTATTGTATTAAAGTTCAGCAAAACAAAAAGAAAAGAATCTTTTTTGTACTTATTTGATCCCGTCTCAAAAATTGATATTGCATGAAATAGATACAAAACGTATGGAAATTTCAGAATATGTCGAGACTATAGAAGTAAGAGTATGATAAAAATTTCAATACTATAACATAAAGTTTTCAGGAGATATTCAACAACCAGAGGTTAAAAATGCACAGCATAACAGAGCCTTTCTTTTAAGCACTGAAAAGTTCAATATGTTGAAAAACTTTAAAAAAAAATATTGCTCTAATTATACAACTACTCTTGTATATAATAATAGCAAAACTTAATTTAAAAAAGAGACTCGGTTATGCCTTATACTTTGACATGTTGTAGATCGAAAAAAGTATATAGAATGAAGATCCATAAAAGATTCTACGTTGTCCGATCAAAAAAGCGAAACAGATTCTCTGGTTTTCTGAAAAAAAACATAATTTTTTAGCAGACAATAATACATATCAGTAGTATAGAATTCCTTACGAGTTCCCGAATTGTATCAATGATTCGGACATTTTGTCTCTTACGTTGTGTCGTGTAGCTTTAAAATTCTCTCGTCTCTATCCAGATCGAACAACAATGCTGATAAACAACTGTAAAGTGTTGTATTTTGATGTATCACATGGAGTTTTAGGCATACATGTCTCCAATATCTCTAGTATATACCAGAAATTTATATATATTGATATGTGAATAAACAATCTAATGGGACACATAGACAGACATGGCATCCATACTTTGATTGACATAGGAGATAAGCCGGTATGTTGTTTTCTATTTTCCGGGGCACTCATATCTGATGAGATGTCTTGCTTGTGTATGTTTTGGCGTGTGTGTTCGAGTTCTCGGGTAGAAATATCTGATTATATATGTAGAACTTGAAAGCTTGTTACATATGGTAACGTATGACAAAAATTATCTAGACTTTTAGAAAAAAAAACAAGATGTTAAAATAAAAATAACATGTTCTTTACGAAAGGAGATTTACTTTTTTTTGAGATTGGAAATTCAAGTCTTTCTTATAAAACAAATATGTTTGAACTCTTCATAGACTTTCATTAGCCAATTATTTGACGAAAATTTTATATTTCGGAATAAGATTTGTTGAAAACCATTGATAGAAAGTTTAAAAAACTTTTTTGTTTTATTTCTCATTGTTATATTGGTAGACTGGAAGTTCCGTCTAGGTTTAAATTGATCTCATTATTTCCTATAAATACTCTTATTTTTTTTACTCAGTTTCCACATTTCTTACTACTTAGCAGTATGAATTTAGATCATAGTATAATTATAGAGTATTGATAAGTACTACGAAATATAGCAAATGAGTAAAGAAATAAAGCTTTTTATACGAGTTAATGAAGTCAATTCAAGTCGGGACCTAAACTTCTGTAACCGATTGTATTCTTTCATTGTTAATATTGAATTTTTATCTGTCTATATCTTTTTTTCTTTATCTAGAAAAACCTTCATTCGATCTAAGTGGATTACATGGACCATTGGGTAAAAAAGAAATTCGCGTTAAAGCTGGTGAACCATTAACAATTGATCTACCTATAAACGGATCACCAACACCAACAGTTACTTGGACAAAAGATGGTGAACCTGTTCAACCAACACGAGAGTTTGTTGAAAAAACAAAATTTTTTTAAAATTTTTTCTTTTTTTTTTTTGTAATTAGTACTCAACTTGAAAATGATGATGTTCATGCTAAATTACATAAACCATCAGCACAACGTTCTGATACAGGAAAATATAAAGTTCAATTGAAAAATGATTCAGGTGAAGATGAATGTGACATTAATGTTATTGTATTAGATAGACCAGGCAAACCTGAAGGACCATTAGAAGTAACAGAAACAACAAAAGATACTGTTTCACTTCAATGGAATCCACCAAAAGATGATGGTGGTGGTGATATCAAAGGTAAAATTATTTATTATTAAACATTTTCTTCCAAATGAACTTTTCTTTGTTTTTCTTTTTGCTGCATAGGTTATATTATTGAAAAATGTCCGGAAAATTCTGATAAATGGGAAAAAGTTCCTGGTGTATTTACACAACCAAAAGGAACTGTTAAAGATTTAGAAACAAATAAAAAATATAAATTTCGAGTTAAAGCTGAAAATATTTATGGCATTAGTGACCCATTAGAAACAACATCAAGTATTATTGTGAAACCACCTTTTGGTATAAATTACGTTTTGTTTTTCTATTCGTTTTATTTTTTATGTCAATTGTTTATCTAGATCCACCTGATGCACCAGATACACCAGAAATTACAGAATATAATTCAACATATATTAAACTTAAATGGGAAAAACCGAAAATAGATGGTGGAAATCCAATAAGTGGTTATAATGTTGAAATGCGTGAAAAAGGTCGCAATGATTGGGTACCATGTAACACTGTACCAATCAAAGGAAAAGAATATACAGCATCGAATCTACGTGAAGGTCGAATATATGAATTTCGAGTAGCTGCTGTAAATGATGCTGGACCAGGTGCACCATCAAAACCAACGAAACCACAAAAAGCTGAAGTACCAATATTTCCAGCTGATGCTCCCGATCAACCAAAAGTTGATAAAATTACAAAAGATTCCGTCACATTATCATGGAAAAAACCAGTAAATGATGGTGGAAGTAAAATTACTGGTTATATTATTGAACAACGAACACCTAATAGGTAAATTTTTTGAATTATCTTAATGAGAAATTTCAATAATAATGAATTTCTTTTGTTTTTTTTTCTAGTCCAGATTGGAGTGAAGTTGCTGAAATACCAGCACGTGATTGTTCATATACAGTTCCGAACTTAACAGAAGGTGAAGAAGTTTCATTTCGAATTCGTGCTGTTAATGCAGTTGGTCCTAGTGAACCAAGTCGACCAACAGATACAGTTACTGTTCAAGATCAACCAGGTATAGAATCTTAATTATTTATTTGAATTATTTATTTTATTTTATTTTTTTTTTCTTAGAAAAACCATCATTTCTTGATTTAACTGGTATTAAAGATATAACAGTTAAAGAAGGAAAAGATTTTGAACTACATATTCCATATAAAGCTACACCAAAACCACAAGCACAATGCTTAATTAATGATCAAGATTTAGTTAATGATGATCGTGTTAATGTTAAAGTAAAAATTATATATATGTACATTAGATAAAAATTAATATTTTAATTAATTTTATTTTAGACATTAGACAATGTTGTTACATTACTTAATCGTAATGCTAAACGAGGAGATTCGGGTATATATAAATTAGTTTTAAAAAATAGTGAAGGTTCATGTCAAATCCAATTTCGTGTCAATGTTCTTTCGCCACCAACAAAACCAGAAGGTCCATTAGAAGCAACAAATATTACTGCTGATGGATGTACTTTAAATTGGAAACCACCGGTAAATCAAATTGAATAAAATTTTTTTAATATTATTTTTCTGAAATACAATCTAAAAGGAGTATTGCAAGATAGAAGTCCTCTCGTCACACACAATGACATAGGTTGATACGTGATCATAGACTGTATATAAATAACGTCTCGTTATAATACATCTTTATTGTATTTCTAAACGATTAAATAAAAGAATGGTGAAGAAATATATTTGAAAACAGATAGAAAAAAATAATCTCTATGTGATTGACAATAGCAGCTGCATTGTGTTTCATAGTTTAGTCTCATAGGGATCGTGTTAATAGTTTGTTTTTTTTTTCTTCTATTTTTAGAAAGATAATGGTGGAAATGATATAAAACATTATATAGTCGAACGACGTGAACCTGGAACAGAAAAATGGATCAAAGCTGGACCATCTGTATTAGGCACAACATGTGATGTTAAAGGTTTAGAAGAGGGAAAGAATTATGAATTTCGTGTTTCTGCTGAAAATGAGAATGGCATTTCGGAACCATTAGTAATCGATGCACCAATTAAAGCTAAATGGCCATTTAAACCACCTGAAGCACCAGGTACACCACAATGTGCTGGACATACAGCTGATTCAATAACATTACAATGGACACGACCACAAAATGATGGTGGAAATCCAATACGAGGTTATCTAGTTGAAAAGAAAGAAAAAGGAACAGATCGATGGGTTCCGTAAGTGAAAAGAATTTTTGATTTCGTTTGATTCAATAGAAACTTTTTTTTTGTTTGTGATTTAGTGTCAATCGAGAAACAATACCAGGTGTTGAATATACAGTTCCAAATCTTGTCAATGGAAAAGAATATGAATTTCGTGTTGCTGCTGTTAATAAAGCTGGACCAGGAGAATATGGTAGAAACAAAAAAGAAAAATAACTTATTTTATAATAATCATTTTCAATTGATTATTATTTTTTTTTCTAGCTAATACTGATGGATTTATTCAAGCTCGTCCACCTGATGTAGCTCCACGTGCCATTGGTTTCAGCGCTTTTAATCCAAAAGAAATTATTGTTCGTGCTGGTGAAGATCTTAAGATTACTGTACCATTTGTTGGTTCACCATTACCACAAGTTAATTTTACTAAAGGTTCTGATGATATTACACCCGATGGAAATATTCAAATAAATGTTAAAGATGGTGTTGCTGAACTTTTTATACCAAAAGTAACCACTGATGATAGTGGTAATTATTCATGTACATTAAAAAATCATCTAGGACAAGATACAGTACCAATAAAAGTTCTTGTTGTTGACAAACCAGGTTTGATTAGAATCTTTTATTTTTAATAAAACAAAAAGAAACCCTTTTTGGTTTTTTGTTTTTAGACACACCCGAAGGTCCATTAGATATTAGTGATGTCAAACCTGATTCATGTATTTTAACATGGAAACCACCAAAGAATGATGGTGGTTCACCAATAAGTAATTATATAATTGAAAAATTAGATACGAAAAAAGGTGATTGGCAAAAAGTATCAAGCTTTTGTCGTGTACCATTTTATGAAGTAACTGGATTAAATGAAGGTTCAGAATATAAATTTCGTGTATCAGCTGAAAATATTTATGGACAAAGTCAACCATTAGAATGTGAAAAACCAATTATTGCCAAACATCCATTCAGTAAATAATCTTTGCCATTGCATATGACTCTTTAAAAACAAAATAATAATAATAAAATTTTTATTATTATAGATACACCACAAGCTCCAACTACTGTTGAAGTTGCTAATCAAACAGAAAATTCCGTAACATTAAAATGGAATAAACCTAAAAGTGATGGTGGTTCAAAAATAATTGGTTATCAAGTTGAAATGCGTAAACCAGATAGTGATACATGGGAAATAGCTAATGATTATCCAATACGAGGAAATGACTTTTTAATTAATAATCTTCAAATAGGAAAACCATATGAATTTCGTGTTAAAGCTAAAAATGCTGCCGGTTGGGGAGATTATGCTACAATTGATAGTCCTGTAACACTTAAACCTGATAGTGGTAAGTTAAAGATTTTCTTAGAACAAACAGAAAAATGATTTTTATTGTTTCTTAGTTCCACCATCATCACCTGGTATGCCAGAATTGAAAAGAGTTGGTAAAAATTATGTTGAATTAACATGGACACCACCAACAAATGATGGTGGTGCAAAAATAACTGGTTATATTGTAGAAAAGAAACCAATTGGAAGTGAACAATGGACAAAAGCAATGCCTTTTACTGTACTTGATACTAATGCAATGATTAGTGATTTACCAGAAAATGGTGAATTTGAATTTCGTGTTAAAGCTATAAATAAAGCTGGTGAAGGTGAACCAAGCTCAAGTACTGGTCGAGTTAAAATAACTGAATTTCCAAGTAAATATTTGTTTATACATACGATCTATTTCAGGCAAAGATAGGACATAGGCACTTTTCATTTGACTTTATAGCACTAATAAAAGTCCAAATAGTGATTCGAGTAGAGAACATTATTTCCTATAGAAATATCAAAGAACAAAAATTATAATCGAATTCCTAAAAATAGAAGCTTCAGAAAACTCAAATCCTAGGTTTCTAGCACTTAGAATGCGTAAATATAATTTTGTTTAAACCTACATAGAATAATAGAGTAACTAATTGTCGACAAAATGAGATGTCTCCAAGTTCGTTATGGTCTTTTCTTGGTGACATACAGCAATCTTACGGATGTTCCTAAAGTCGTTTTTTTTACTATTTCCTGTAGAAAAACCATTAATCCGATATTTAATCGACTCACTGTATCTCAGCTAAAAACTATAGCTGAGGACTTGATGCTGAAGAACTAGGGTTTTGATTCTGAATCACTATTTGAATTCTTTTCAATGCTTACGACAACAGAAAAGTTTAAGATAAACCAAATTGAATAATTTCCGTACGCACCACCTGTAAAAAATTTTGACTCTTTCAGCTGACTATTAATTAAGAAAAAACTTAATTGGGTGAATTTCTCTCGAAAAATTGCACTCAAAAAAGAAACTAGTTTTCTAGAGATCTTATCATGTTTTGAAAACAAACATTTTAATCTTACCATTATCTAGAAACTTTAAAGAAAGACTTCTATTTGAGATACAAGAACATTTCTTCGTCTTCCGTCACGTCGCTAACAAAAAATAAATCGACTTTTCGGAAAAGTCAAAGAATGCTCAGAAAAAAGTCTTTGGATAGAGACTTTCTAGTCTGAGTAGTTGTCTATAAAATATAGTATTTACTTTTTCAAACAACTGTTTTCATTCTGAATTTTCTTTAAACTAAAATACATGAAGTGAAAGATGTTTTTTATTTTACGAAGTTACGTTGCTAATTAATGATTTGAAAATTTAGATGGACGACCGCCAACATTTGTTAAAAAAGTAGCAGATGTAAATGTACCAACTAATGCTGAAGCAGTTTTTACTGTTGAATATGATGCAAATCCAGCGCCAGAAGTAAAATGGTTTCGTAATGGTTTAGAATTAGCAGCAAGTGGTCGTTATCGTATTAGTACAAAACCAGATGAATCAAAATCAACATTGACATTTTTGGATGTATGGGAAAATGATAATAATTCAAAGATTGCTTGTGAAATTATTAATCCACTTGGAAGAGATAATTGCGATGCAATGTTTCGTGTTAAAAGTAAGTTATATAAATATTTAGAATCATTAGAAAAATAAATAAATAATAGTTGTACTTCTATTTTGAGTCTGTCAGGCTCAAAATATTTTTTTTCTTTACTTTTGAATTTAAATTAATCTATTTAAATATATCTTTAATTATAATTTCAGCACCACCAAAACTACAACGTGAACCAGAAGAGCAACGTGTTCCATTGGGCGATACATTAAAAGTTAAAATACCAATTAGTGGAAGAGGTCCATTTACATTTAAAGTTAAAAAAGATGATGAAGCCTTACCTGACCATGGTCGAGTACGCATTCATGAATATGATGATTTCATTGTTGTTACGATTCCTGGTAAGTTTATCTATTTTTACTTTTTATAAATTAATTTCTTATCTATTTGACATACTTTTAGATGTTGAACGAGATGATACTGGAAAATATTTAATCAATGTTGCAAATGAGTCAGGTTCTTGTAACGTACCATTAAAAGTTAAAGTTATTGGTAAGATTCATTTGAAATCAAAAAACAAAAATAGCAAGATTCATTGTTTTTATTTAGCTCCGCCACTTCCTCCAACAGGTCCACTTGAAATATCAAATATATCTAAAGATCGTGCAACAGTTTCTTGGAAACCACCAAAAGATGATGGTGGTAGTAAAATAACAGGTTATACAGTTGAACGACGTGATACATCAAAAGGATCCGATGCTTGGATACCTGTTACACAAAATTGTAAGGATACATCCTTTACTGTTCCATCATTACTTGATGGGCATGAATATGAATTTCGTGTTATGGCTATGAACGAAAATGGTATTAGTGAACCATTACGTTCATCACATCCAATTATTGCTCAGCTTCCATTTAGTATGTTAAAATAATGATTTGTTTTTTTTCATTTGAAATTTTATTTTTTATTTATAATAGAACCTCCTGGTGCACCAGGACAACCGGAAGTTGATGAAGTTACAAATAATACTGCTACATTGAATTGGGATAAACCAAGCTCCGACGGAGGTAATGAATAATAGACAAATTTTAAATGAAGACAAAATATTTAGAAACACCATTCTTTTTTACATTTTTCTTTAACGATAATAATAGTTAGAACAAATTACAAAAAAGATTTCATTCTAAATTCTATCAAAAATGTTATGCAAACAAGTTCATCTAATAGAGAAAAGATTTTTGATGTGTCGAACTTCTCCAAGAATTTTGTTAATTCTATAAAAGGTTTCAAAATATAAAACAGAGTAAACTCATATAAATTTTCATGAAAACAACGGAAAATAGCCTTTTAGGAAATTAGAATTAATAGAGCTCGAAAGAAAAAAGATTGAAATATAAAATTAATTTGCTTAGTTGATAGATAGATGATTTATTAATTAGAAATTTGTTTAATAACAGTAAGAATTTAGGAATATACGTATACAAACATCGACTCTGTTATGGTATTTTTGATTTTGAGAATCATTTTTCAGCTTTCATATTCTTTGCCAAAAGTAATCATAAACTTTGAGGATACTTTTTCAAATCTTTTCTCGCATTTTGAACTCTGGATTATAAAGATGTAGGTGAACTGCTGACTACAGTTCGACGATATCATAAAACTAGAACTGAAAGCATTAAATCATCAGACACATACAAAAAAACCATAAGTCTATGTTAAGAAATCTTCGTTTTTTTTCATTGTTGAAATTAAAGTTTTCCACATATATAATATTCTTTTGTTTAAGTACTAAAATATGCAGCGCCTTTAATCTCAACAATCCAAGAACAAAAATTTATTAACATACATTTAAACCGTTCGAGTTCCATGTGAGATTTCGAGAGTCGAACCAACATTGCTGAACTCAACTAATGGCCCACACTTATACCCGATATACACAGAAGACTGAATAGAATAACGAAAAATAAAATAAAAAAAAAGTACAGCAGTAATTTAGTATCATTGGTTGTTTTAAGAACTTTCGAGTATTTGACATCACACTTTCTTCTTAGGCATATCCGACAATCATTGTCTTTGTGAATATAATCTAGAAAATTGATTTTGAGAAGTTTAGTTTTTCAAAAAGTTTTTTCTCAACGCTTTCAATTGAAACGATGATAAACGTTAAATCTTCGATTGTTTCTAAATTTATACGTTTCCACTGAAATTTAATAAACTTGTGAATTTTTTCAGGAGGTCCAATAACTGGTTATTGGATTGAAAAACGTGAAAAGAATAGTGATAAATGGATTCCAGTGAATATATCTCCATGTCAATCGAATCGATATACAGTTCCATCATTACTTGAAGATCATGATTATGAATTTCGTGTTATAGCAGAAAATGAAGCTGGTAAAGGAATACCATCTGAAGCATCAAAATTAACTAAAGTAAAAAACAAAAAAGATCTTTTTTTCTTCATAATTATAAATAATAATCACTTTTTTTTCTAGATTAAAGATCCAAAAGCTTCAACACCACCTGAATTTCTTAAAAAATTAAAAGATATTCAAGGTAATGAAGGTAAAACAATTCGTCTAGAAGCTGAAGTTATTGGAACACCAAAACCAGATATTGAATGGTTTGTTTTCATTTTTATTTTTAATTGTCATTACAAGAAAAAGAAAAGCATCTTTCCATCATTTTCAGGTACAAAGGAACTAAAGAATTATCTGAAAATCTTAAATATAGTATGACTCGTGAAGGTGATAAATGTATCTTAGTTATTAATAATGCTACACCAGATGATGTTGATGAATATAGTATTAAAGCACGAAATCCAGGTGGTTCAAGAATGTGTCGTTGTAATGTAGATGTTCGATGTAAGTTAAACTTTATTATTAAAAAACAACAAAATTTATATTGCTTTCTTGTTTTTTTTTTTATAGCACCACCACATATTCGTTTACCATTAAAATATCAAGATGTTCTTAATTATGATAAAGGTGAACCTATTGTTTTAAAAATTCCTTATACTGGTAGTCCATTACCGAATGTAAAATTAACAAAAGATGGAAATGATGTCACACATGATAAAAATATTTCAATTGATGTTGGTCCTCGTGCTGTAACATTAACTATAAGAAATACAGATAAAAATACAAGTGGACCATATCAAATAAAATTAGATAATGAACTAGGTGAAGATGAAGCTACAATACGTATTCATGTATCAGGTAAAAATTGATTATGTCATTTTATTTGATAATTAAAGTTTTCATTGTATAGATGTACCTGATGCACCATCTACTCCACAAGTGAATTCAATTTCAGATGATTCAATTGCATTATCATGGCATCCACCAGAAAATGATGGTGGAAGTTATATAACGAATTATATTATTGAAAAACTTGATCCTGATACAGGAAAATGGCTTAAAGCAGCAACAAGCCGATTTCCTCATTGTAATGTTGAAAATTTAGTACCAAATAAACCATATAAGTTTCGTGTTACTGCTGAAAATATTCATGGAGCTGGAGAACCATCAGAACCAACGCAACCTGTTCAAACAAATGGTAAATTTAGAAAAAAAAGAATATAATAATAAGAATAATTATAAGTATTGTTTAGATTCCGATGCGAATCGTAAACGTCGTTTAGGAAATGATGATGATTACTTACGACGAAGAAATAAGAATTTACCAAAATTAGATAATTATGATCGATGCTGTAAGTATCTCAAAAATAAATAAGTATTATAGAATGAATTCTTGTCAGAATCAATACTGCTGATCATTATACTATGTAAGACATAGTTTATGGGCTCCAAATATAAACGAAAACCTCAAGAAAATTGGAATAAAAATGTAACATATCATCAAATCTGAAGAAAGAATGAAGGATATTTCTAACATCGCTTTTCTGTCTTATTGTTCGATAACGAAAGAAACATTTTTCTTTTCTCATGTCCACTATTTTAGTTAATATTTACTGGAAAAAAAAATTAAAGATTTTTTACTTTATAAAATGTATAAGTAAAATTTTTTCATTACTCTAGTCTGGGATATTTGGGATAAAGATCGTCAACCACAACGAGCTACATTAAAACATGGCAGTATTTATGATTACTACGATATTCTCGAAGAAATTGGACGGTAAATTAATTAATGTTTTTTTTTCTTTATTTTAAATAAATTTTTTTTTTTTTTTATTATTTTATAAAGTGGTGCATTTGGTGCTGTTCATCGTTGTATTGAAAAAGCAACTGGTAAAACGTATGCAGCTAAATTCATGTCAACACCAACACCAGCTGATAAAGCAGCCGTTCGTCATGAAATGGAAGTTATGATGGATTTACATCATCCAAAATTACTTCATTTACATGATGCATTCGAAGAAGAAAATGAAATGGCTATGGTCACTGAATTTGTTGCTGGTGGAGAATTATTTGATCGTATAGCTGATCCAAATTATAAAATGACTGAAGCTGAAGCTATTAAATATATGAGACAAATATGTCAAGGTCTTGAACATATGCATGAAAATAACATTGTTCATTTAGATTTAAAAGTAAGTAAAAAAAAGAATACATATATGATAAAGAATTGAATGTAATATTTGTTTGTTTTTCAGCCGGAAAATATCCTATGTGAAACAAAAAACAGTACAAATGTAAAAATATGTGATTTTGGTTTAGCTACAAAACTTGATCCTAATGATATTGTTAAAGTTAGTGCTGCAACTGTTGAATTTGCTGCACCAGAAATTGTTGAACATGATAGTGTTGGATTTTATACCGATATGTGGGCAGCGGGTGTTCTTTCTTATGTTCTGTAAGATAAATGGAAGCAGAATTTGTTTTTTTTTTATTCAAGAATATTTTTAAATTTAGTTTAAGTGGTTTATCACCATTTGGTGGTCATGATGATGATGAAACAACGGCAAATATACGTAAATGTGATTTACGTTTTCCAACTGAAATATTTGGAGGTATTTCTGATGAAGGAAAAGATTTTATACAAAAACTTTTATTAAAAGATCGACAGTAAATATTCTATGATTTTAATCTGTTATTATTTATTCATGGTTTTTTTTTTCTTCAAGTGCTCGAATGACTGTTCATGATGCACTCGATCATCCATGGTTACGTGAAGATCGTCCTGAACTTGATTCACGTATACCATCAAGTAGATTTGATAATGTTCGTCAACGTATTCGTGATCGATATGTATGCTCATGTTGAAAAATAATAAGAAATTTTTATTAATATTGTATTTAAAGGCTGAAAATCCTGATCCAACAATTGGTCTTGGTCGTATGGCTGATTGGAGTTCACTTCGCAAAAATAAACCACAAGAGTATAAAATCTATAATAGTTCTTGGGGTAAGAATTTAATAGTTTTTTGTTCAAACTGAATTATATTGAATAATTATATCATAGATCGTCGTGAAGCTGCACCACGTTTTGTTCTTCGTCCTCGTAATGCTCGTGTTTTAGAAGGACAAAATGCTGAATTTGATTGTCGTATTATTGCTGTATCGCCGCCTGTTGTCTCTTGGTAAGTTAATTAATGCAAAATTCAATTATGTATTCAAAACAACAACAACAACAACAAATATTTATTTTGTAGGTATCGTGATAATGCTGAAATTCGTCAATCAACAAAACATTTAAAGAAATACGATCGAAATAATTATAAACTAGAAATAAAACGTTGTTTACAAGATGATAAAGGAGAATATATTGTACGAGCAACAAATAGTTATGGTGAAAAAGAATATGCCGTCTTTTTAACTGTTGAATGTAAGTATCATAATATTCATTTATAAGAATTATTTTCCTCTTGAATAACACATAAGTCAGTTTATCTTTGATGATTGATTATGTGACCGTCATGTTTTATTCGTTAGATATACACGTATATAATGAACTTTTCTCTACTCGTGTTCCATTACATAATTTTCTCTATGAACCGCAAACCATCTGTATTCTTACTTAAAAGAACATTTATATAGAACAGATTTTTCAATGTCATCAAGCGTTAAAGATTGTAAAGCACTTATTATTTTATATATATGCGCTGTTCTCATGATGATCGGCTTCTTTTTTTTTTCTATATACGTAATGATTATCGATAGTTTCCATCGATCGTTTTTCTTCTTGCTTTAGTCAATGTCAGATAGGATAGATTTGCTTACTTCTAATGAGACTCTTGACTTTCAGTATTGTCGTTATTGTAGACGTCATCAGTCTACATATCGAGAGAACGTGTATGTCCTTGGATTATTTTTATATAGGAAATAGTATACATATAGATCAACGGTTATTATTTATTTGTATTTCTTTTTTTTTGTTCAATTAATATAATTGAAATATTTGATTTAATACTGGAAATAAAGAAGCAAAACAACTGTAGGTAATTTATTAAAGGATTTAGTCGTCAAAATAAAGGCCTTGAATTGATTGACATCTAGCAAACATGAAACGAGCAAATTATATGTTGAAAATAGTTTAGCAGCTATGCTATTTTTTTCATCGAACGAATATAAGTGCAGAGAAAGTAAAGAAAAGATATATTTGGATTGGTAATATACAAGTAGGAAGAAAAAGAACGGGTAAGATGATACGATGTACAGGCAGGATACGAGCTGCGTTTGTTCTCTCCCTCTCTCTCTTTATCTATCTATCTTATTCTCGATATGGTGCAGAAAATATCTCGATAGTGGAAACAACGAGAAAAGAAGAAGAAGAAAAAAAAAGAATAATTAACGATATGGGTGCTGCCATAGCTGATGTTGTTGTTGTTGTTGATTTGCGGTGGTGGTAGCCAAGAATGTTCTTGCATCTTATAGTACTTGTCTAATAAGAAAAAGAATGGAGGATGTTGTATCCGTCTTTACTATTCTTTTGTATATGCATATACGCATCCACATAACGATGATGTTATTTGATTAGAACCAATATCGTTGAGTAAAATAGATATTTTGTGTATGTGTGCGTGTGTGTGTGTCTGTGTCTGTGTGTTACTTGCGCATCCGTATACAGCGGTTCGAGGGACATGATCTATGTGGTTTCTTTTCCCTATTTATGTGTCCTAATAGAAACAGCATGGAGAAACGGGCGCCAACATATGTGGTGTCAACAACTTTCTCTATCTCATCTTTCATGTGGTTTAGATAGCCTTGCTTAGTTTACTTGCTTGTCTCTCTCTTCTCTTGTTGTTTTTTATCATCACTCCTCTACTGCCATTGCAGCTGTAAGAGGGAGAGATGGACAACTACTACAATTCATCATCGAATTATACGAGCTTTTCTCGTGTTATGTATGGTGGTTCACCACGACATCATAATTTTGAAACACCATATGCTTATCGTGCGCTCTATCGACAACGATTACTTCAACGACCACAGTCAGTTGGTCCACTTTGTAAGACTGTTAATATATAATAATTTTTTTTATTATTTTTATTAAATTTGATTTTTCAGTAAATATAATTATTTATTTTTTTTATTTATTTAGCTCTTCCTGAAACACCTCGTCTTGAACCTCACGATTTTAATTATAGCCGACGTCCGGCACATGAAGCAGAAGTTAGTATATGGCATGAGCCCGATAGTAAACCAGTGTTTACATTTATGCTTCGACCACGTCTTATTCAAGAAGGCATTGGTTGTAAATTGATTTGTTGCGTTAATGGTAAACCTCAACCAAAGGTTAATAAATTTTTTTCTTGTTATTTTATCAACTAAAAGTAAAAATATAAAAATTTCCTTTTAATAGGTACAATGGTTTAAAGATCGTACTCAATTGAGCGAGCACGATACCCATTATATGACATCATGTGTTCATGGTGTTTGTACCTTAGAGATTACAGCATGTGAAACAGGGGATAGTGGAATGTTTCGTTGTGCTGCTGCAAATCCCTTAGGTACTGATGAAACATCTTGTTTAATTCATGTTGAAGGTAAATAAATAATTTTTAAACAAATTCTTTTTCTTTTTTATAATCACAAAAAACAAACATTATTTTCTATAGAAGTACGTCGAACACGACGTGCTCATTCAGCTCGACCAGGCGAAGAAGATACATCAAGTGGTGGAAGTCGAGCACGTTCACCATCACCTGTACGTGCATCAGGTAGAGATGCAAGTTGGCGTGATAAATTAGGTGCTGCTGGTAAACCTGCACGTGATACACTTGAAGTGGAAAAACCAAGTAAGTTATAGCATTTATTTCAATATAATGATTATTTATTACATCTTATGATAAACATTATCTCAAGATAGCTTTCTTTTTTATCTATGTGACAATTACGAAAGTATAATTCTCTTGTTGATTAACCAAAAAATATTTTCCTATTTGTTGATAGATAAAGAATCAATTTGCTTTATTTAGAACGTAAAGAACGTCGAGACCCACCGAAATTTACTGATCAACTTGTTGATGTTACTGTTTTCGAAGGTATATATATAATAATTTGTCTTTGTTTTTATTGAATATATTTTGTTTTCTTATTAGGTTCTACAGCTAAACTTCGCTGTGAAGTTAAAGGCAAGCCATCACCTAAGATTGAATGGTTGAAGAATGGCCAGGTATAAACATTTATTGAAAAAAAAAAGATTAAATAAACAACAAACAAAAAAATAAAATTTTTTTTTTCATAGTCTGTCGCAGTTGAATCTCGTATTCAACAAACATATGATGATGATGTCGTAATATTAGTCATCAAAAAAGTTAAATTAGATGATAATGGAGAATATATTTGTCGAGCTACTAATGATGAAGGTTCGGATACATCAAGTGCACAACTTACTGTCAAAGGTAGTTTTGATAGTTAATCTAATTTACATCTTAATGATTTATTTATATTTATAGCTCATATTGTCGGTGAAAATGAAGCAGAATATGCTGCTACATTAGCACAAGAAGATGAAGCAGCTGTTCAAGCAGCACCACAAGCAGCAAGTGAAGAAGCTCTTACTGCTCCTGCTCCTGCTGCTGAACCAACTGAAGGTGCTGCTAGTGAAACAGCAGCTAAACTTGAAGAAAAACTTCCATCAGAAGCTGTTGCTGAAGCTGCAGCAGATGCCAATACTTCAGCAGCACCAGCACCTGCCGAAGCACCAGCTACTACCGAAGCTGCTCCTGCTCCAGCAGCAGAACCAGCTCCACCTGCTGAACCAGCTGCACCTGCTGAACCAGCTCCACCGGCTGAACCAGCTCCAGCACCTGAGCCTGCACCTGCACCAGAACCAGTACCTGAACCTGCTAAACCAGCTGCTGGTAAAGCTGCACCTGGTAAAAAACCAGCAACACCTGCTGCACCTGAAAAGAAACCAATTGGAGCTGCTGCTTTAAAAAAACCTGAACCAGCTAAGAAACCTGAAGAAAAAAAAGAAGCTGCTGCACCAGCTGGCAAAAAACCTGCTGATGATAAAACAAAAAAACCAGCGGTTGATGAAAAGAAAAAGACAGAAGAAGCTAAACCGAAAGCTGCTGAAGAAGCACCACCTGCTGAACCCGAAAAGAAGAAAGAAGAAGCTGAACCAAAGGCAAAAGATGAAGAAGAACAAAAAGAAAAATCAGCTGAAGTCAAAGCAAAATTTGTTAAACATATTAAATCTCAAAATTTAATGGAAGGTGATCCATTAACACTTGATTGCGTTATCTTAGGTAAATATCTCTTTAAACTTGTCTATCAATTTGAAAATTTTTTCTTCTTCACATTTTTAGGTGGTAATGAAGAAATTGATTTAACATGGTTACGAAATAATAAAGAAATTCCCGAAAATCCTGATTTTCGACGTGAACGTGATGGAAATTCATTTAAATTACTTGTTTCTGAAGTGTAATTATATAAAATGATACATCAAAATCTTTATTTTTTTGATCATTTTTTTGTTTCTTTTTTCAAATAGATTTCCTGAAGATTCAGGTGTCTTTTCAGCTTTAATGAAAAGTCAATCAATCGTTAATCCACGTTTTTCATCTTGCTCAGTCATCATTCAAGGTAAATATTATTCTTTAAATAATTAAATAAAATTGTTTGTTTACTTTTTTGTTAAGCTCGTGATGAAGAACCACTTGATCCATGCTTTGGTCAATTTCCACAAAGTATTAGTGTAGAAGAAGGTCATAAAGCGAAATTTTCATGCGCACTCAAAGGTTCAACACCAATGACTGGTAAATCTATACATATATTAATAATAAAAATATATATTCTTATCAAATTCTCATTTTTACTTATTATAGCTGATTGGAATATGAATGGTAAACCACTTGATCGTAAATCAAGTCGATTTGTATTTACAAATACTGAAAAAGAATTTTCATTGGAAATACCCGTTGTTTTGGCAACTGATGAAGGTCAATATCATGTTACGATTTCGAATGATAAAGGAGAAATAACTGCTGCATTCAGCTTACATGTCGATCAATCGTGAAATTAGACAAAATCATTAAATAAACAAAAATCATAATATATGTATCTCTCAATGTGTGTGTGGAAAGACTAAAACAAAACAGAAAAAGAAAATCATAATTTTGACTTTTCTTTTGTTTTCATATCATCTATTTGTATTTTTTTTAATACCTTGGCCGCTCAACCTTTTCTTTTCTGTTTTTCTTTTTTTAATGTCTATGTTTTTTCTCCCATTTAGAAAATTTAATGCCTAACCTGTTCTTATTCTTATTAGAAACACGCTCTATCTATATTTCTTTACACAAAAAAAATGGTATTCTTTGATGTGTGTGCGTGTGTAAATTGTTGAAGTCTTAACATCCTCAAGAAAGCAATTACAAGAACAAAATAGTCTAGTGAGAGACATA